TGCATTTTTGCTTACTAGGCGAATATAATTCAACTACAATATCTAAACATTTAATGTGCCTTTAATTAGGACATATAGATATATGTATGTATTAACTGATCCACTTTTTAAGTTGTCAGTTTAATGACCTGTGGGAATTGTGCATACTAGGTTAGCATAAATCAAGTAAATTACCTAGGTCACAACAGTGGTATATCAACAATGAAATACATACTATTGTTCATTTACTTGAAATCATTGTCTTGTGCACGTTAGGAATCGTTAAAACCATTGAATGATGTTGCGAAGTACTCCTACTACTACCTCTACTTCACGAAATGTGTCATCTATATTGTGTGATGGAACAGCTATATTCAAAAGGATAATGCTCTGCTGTGTATTTTATGCATGGATACAATTCAAGGAAGTTTTAGACGCATTTATGAAGGTACTAACTAAGTTACAGGATTTTCATCATGAGCTGACATTAGTTAGAGAACCATTGGAAAACCAGGGAGTACTGGACAGCGGTTTCGTCCTAGTTTGGGACTCTTTTCTGTCCAGTACTCCCAGGTTTTCCAATGGTTCTCTAACTAATGTCAGCTCATGATGAAAATCCTGTAACCAATCAAATCCCTACAAACCAACACTTGAATACTAACTCAGTTGTTCATTATTTATTTGAAAGGAATCCAACATATCGTATCGAGTTGATTCAAGTAGAAAAGATCCATCCGGTCCAATGGAATACGAGTATGTGAGGTATAAATGCAAATAAACGTGCTCCCCGAGGTGCTGGCTTTAGGAACAGAGAGTGAGTTGACTGTCTGTGTAAATTTTTAAAATTTTAAGGTTCAAAAGTACTTCATGTCAGTTAACAGTTATAGTACGGCGTAAATCCAACGAATACAAGATATTTTAAAACAAGCAATAACGGTTAATAAAGCAGGATTTAATGAATTCATCAAATTTCGGTGGAACTCGTCAGTGTGTAGTGTATGTCTGATTTTCAAGTGATCTCACTTTCTGATTATGTAAAAGCGCATAGTTAGTCCATAGATCCTCAATCATTCGCCATTTTTCACTATATTGACAAATAATTTTTCCTTTATGTTTCAATTTTCAGGGGACTAGACATTCCTCATGTGGAATTTGTTATAAACTACAATGTACCATTATCTGAGAAAACGTATAGACATCGTGTTGGTAGAACTGCACGTGCTGGTCAAAGAGGAATAGCTCTAACCATAGTAACACGTGATGTAGCACCTGTGTTTCTAGAATTAGAAGCATCTCTACTACCATATCTACCAAAATCTAAGGCGGAAGTCAGTAACTCTTCTCCTGGAATACCTCGTTGGCCAATTCCAGTTCCTGACTTGAACGGTCGAGATAGTATACTTGTCCGTCGGCGGTTAGCTGATCAAGCTTGGTCTCGAGCTTCAAAGGTAAATTTTCCTTCTTTACGGCGTTTTTTGCTGTAAGTTAATTTTGAATTTATTGGTATAGGGCAACAGTAAAGAATAGGCACCAACTACAGACGACCTTAAAACAACCAATCAGATTCTTTCAGTCAAAAAGTGGCATAAAATTAAGTGTATTTGTAATATATATAATAAAAATGAATTATACAGGATTAGTGTCCCTAATATGCTGCAAAACTGGTCCCAGTTTCTCATAGGAGTAGTTGTAGACATATTAAACCAATTTTGGTACAAAAACTCATCTAAACGGCTATATACCATATCATTTCGGGAACCGTTTACCGTTCTTATACGTTTTTTGAGGTGAGCCCAAAATCCTTCAGTGGAATTTGTATGTTTTCCTGTTACAGGATCCACCAATTCAGAAGAATGGTTGACTTTGTGGTGAATATAGCCTGGTGATGATAATTGAGAATAACCTCTCCATTCGTCTGTGTGAATGGTAGTAGTTCCTGGGAGGACTAGTCGTTGTATAGTTGGTATTAAGATATCAGCACTTCTGTTCGGGATGCGTTCTACTAACAACCCTTTACGAAGTTTTGTGTCGTAAAGCCCCAGCACCCAAACATGATTCGCTCTACTCCTTCCACGATTCATCATTTTTCGCTTTTTAAGTACAGTTTCGTCAATATGCACGACGATGCCAAATCCCCGAAGTACAGAGGTGATCCCATTTCGCTTATGAGACGCAATATCACGGCAGTAGTGATATCACTGCACTGTTGAGATCTTTGTATTCCCTGTTTCTGCAGCTGTAGCAGATACTGGTCGCTTTAGTAGCCAATTGTGGCATATACGCAATATTTTACTAGAGGACAGTTTCGATTTGGAGAAGAAAGTATCTAAAAAATCACCAACTTGCACAGACTTCCTCACATAACAGTGGTTGCATCTGAATGCGTAGCCGTCAATAGGCCGGCAATATTTTTGCAGCGTCATTATCTCTCCATATATTCAGGTTTTAGACCTCCCCCTATCAACCCACTTTCCACACGGAAGTCAACAACCAAATCTGAGTGAAACTTGCAACGAAGTTCATGAACAGCATCCGTTATGAATGATAAAAGATCTGATTAGTCGGTTAAAGGTCATTTGACTTTGGTGTCTATTCTTTATTCTTGCCTGTATAGTTGTGTCTCCTGAGCTACATGGTTTAATTTGTGAGTGTTTTGTTTGTCTTTCTAAACAACATCTTCAGCGCGTACTTCAATTTAAAGTGAGATTTTAGAATTCTCCATGAGTGTTTATCCACCCATCTCTTCTCGTATACATAAACGCGATTGGTTGTATCTGGAGACTTTCTCACTGTTTAGTCCACTTGTATTGGTATTGATTATTTTGTTGATCTGAAAGCTGAACTTTTCTCCATGTGACTTTCTTTTTTTATTGATTGATTGATTGATACATGCTATCATTGTTAATGTGTCTTTTGATTGAAGCTATATACTACTGCTCAATTGAGATGAGTAGTAGTTTGCTGAATGAGTTCGACTCTGCCCCAAACGAGCGAAACGGTTGTCCAGTGCTTAAATCACTTCGTTTATCTGGCTAGCAAGCACTACTGGATGATATGAGTAGTGTACAATCAGTGGGTGTAAAAGCTGTTCCATCCAGTTATGCCTACTCTCTTGATTACCATTCATGATATCATGCAGATCACATATTTTGTGTTATCTGAATAATTTCGGTTTCCAATGGAAACTAACTGTGATGGGGTTTCACCTCCTGAAACTGTATAAATTACCCCATCATGGATAAGATTTTATTTTGATAAATCACACATTGTTATACAGTGATATTAACTAATGACTACGTTTCGAGCACAAACTATTGCCACTCATAATCGTATCAAGACACTACTCACACAACTTTTCCTTCATTTATATACATGTTTGGAAATGACTGGTGGTAATAATATCTTCCCTATTTCTGATATTTGCATTGAGTCATTTCTGTTGCATGTGTTGGATGTAGACTTAATGAACCAGACAGGATTCAGTAATCAATCTCTCTCTCCACCGACATAGATTACTTCTTAGAATTTTAACCCTCTCCCACCCTATTTTGTGTGGTTGTGTCTTAATGCATATAGTGCAATCGCTGAGCTTTTTTCTCAATTGCTCATCTTCTCGGGGCCAGTCAAATCAGAGGAGGATAATAAATAATCTTAAAATTCTATTCCAATTCAAGCACATCACAACATTCTAACAAGTTACTTATTTTGACTTTAAAAACACTCGTCTTATTTCCCATCTCATTGTATTCGATTTATAACACTCATATTATTATTTCTGAATGTACATTATCCTATACTGTTGATTTTATTCAAATGTCTAATCATCAATTTTTACTCATTGACTGATGGAATTCAGTCTTCACCAAAGGGAGGACTAGAAGCATTACACTAGTTACTAGTGTCAAATCAAAATTTTTACTCATTTATATAAATGAGGCAAGTAAGTTGTGTGAGTGATTTGATATGATTATGAGCAGCAATAGTTTGTGCTCGAAACGTGGTCATCAGTTAATATTACTTATGGCATAACACTGTGTGATTTATCAAAATAAAATCTTATCCACAATGGAGTTATACTCTACCACAGTGCCCAAGTTTTATACTTATGTGTATAAATTACCAGTTGTATGAAAAAAAGAAGACATTCAGCGAAGAGACTCTTTTCGACGAATTCATTCACATAGCTGTACAATCGCATTTATATATAAATATTTGTGTGTGTGTGTGTGTACATGAGGTTTGTCAAGTTTAGATAATTGATTAGTTAATACAAGAATGATGTAGTATAGAGACAAAGTTAATCAGACAGCAACTAAAGTAAGACTGAGTTAAAAAACTAGATGACGTAATATAATTGGCTAAAATGTTACAACTTAGGTCAGGATAGCAACAGAGGTAATTACAGGTAGAGATTAAGTAGAAGTGAAATTGAGTGAATAAGTTGGATGACGTAACATGAATGATTAGAAACTGAGCATTGTTCAAGTCAGTAACAGTGGTAGTGGGGTGTAGAGATTGAATCGGGTGGGGGTAGAGAACAAGAAAGTTGAAAATGTAAAATGTTACAATTGAGAAGACAAAATAATACTAATGAAGAGACAGAAGAAAAGATTAGGTAGAATTTACATGTCGGCTAATAAGATAGATTACGTCCATTGCAAGTGTAGTGATTGAACGAACTTCTTCTGTATGCAGAGTTCAGGACTTAGCAAGTGAATCGCCATTGCTTCTGCAGTTTGAAGAAGTCTGATTCGTACACCTTTAGGGAGACTACTTCTTACTCTGTAGACGACTTTGAAGTTTGTTTGCGGTGTGGCTTGGTGTCCGGATTCTATCAGATGTTCTAAGATGGAACTGCCGGGGCATCGATTTTCTCCTTTGTAAAACCATGCTGGTAAGTGCTCGGTGATACGTTTGGAAAGCGAGCGCTGGGTACGGCCGACATACCTGGCTCCACACGAGCAGGTGAATTGATAAATGCACATTGATGAGGCCAGCAGCGGTAGCTTATCCTTCACGTTCACATGAATCATAGGTTTTGTGGATAAGATTAGTCGTAGTTCAGCTGCGAAGAAGGTCTTCTTAAGTGAGCGCGACAGTCGATTTTTTAGTGTTTCCGCAGATAGATCTCCATTGAATTGGAGGTTCATGTAGAGTAGTTTTTTCTTGACGCTAAGTATGGGTGGCTTTTCTGGTCTAGGATTCATAGATTTTGCAATAAATCTTTCTGGATAGCAATTCTCGACGAGGATTCTCTTGAGGTTGTCCAGTTCATCTTCTATGGTGTCCGGAGTGCAAATTCTGCGAACTCTGTAGCTGAGTGAACGGATCAGGTTTCGTTTGGTGTATAGTGGTACCCAACTATGAAAGTTAGTAAGCTGTCCGTTCCACGTTGATTTTCTGTGGATAGATCTTCTCAGTGTTCCATCCTGTTCTCTTCTGGTTAGTTGGACGTCAAGAAAAGATATTGTGGAGTTGGACTCTTTCTCCATCGTGAACTGAATTGCAGGGTGGCAGTTGTTAAACGACTTTAAGATGTCGTCTAGATTTTCTTCGTTGTTGACGATAATGAAGGTGTCGTCGACGTATCTTTTGTAGATTTCGAAGGTATTGATCATTTTCTTCAGGCATGTGTTTTCGAGTTTTGCCATGAAGAAATCTGCAAGCAAAGGGCCTAGTGGTGAGCCCATAGCTATACCATCCTTTTGGCGATATATTTCGTTGTTGAAAGAGAATTGAACATTCAGGGTACACCTCAGTAGGAGTTCTTTAAGATGCTCGGTGGGTATACCGATGTTTATTCCTTTGGAGTGAATAAGTTCGCATATATAGCATATTGTTTCAGTCAGTGGAACGTTTGTGAATAGTGATGTGACATCTAATGAAATCATTGTCTTGTTGGATACGTTGATGTTTTCGATTGAGTCAATAAAGTCGAATGAATCTCGAACTGTGTGGCAGGAAACTTGTTTTCTGATTGGTTCAAGTAGATCTGCTAACCATTGAGCTGTGCGGTGATAGGGTGAATTGGTCATGTCGAGGATCGGTCGAAGAGGGATACCCTTCTTGTGTACTTTCGGGAGTCCGTAAAGTCGTGGTATATTTGAGCCAGACGGTCTAAGGGATTCGAACATTTCGTTGCTGATGAAGGATTCAGTCTTCAACTTACGAAGGGTGTCCGTTAGCTTTTGTTCGGTTTGTTCAGTCATGTTTTTCTCGTTGATCGGTTTTGTGAATTTGCATTCATCGGATAGTATAGTCAGCATTTTACTGATATAGTCCTTGCGATTCATGATTACGATTCCTCCGCCTTTATCAGGACGTAATATCATAATCTCTTCGTTTTTCATAAGTTCTTTCAGCTCCTTATGGTGCCTCTTCGTCAAGATGGACCTTCCGTTGTGTTTGGTATTTATAAACTTGTGACAACAGTCGAGGATTGATGCTT